TAATTAAGATTATTTTATATGGATTTTAACTTGTTTTATCTATGTTGTAAGCCGCCCCGAGGCTTCGGCGAATGGGGCGGCATAAAAATGTTTTAATAATAAATAAATAAATAAATAAATAAATATTCTATGACTCTGGTGCCTCTCCAGTGGATCCACATCCTTAACACATTTCTTGGCAATTATGGTGACCTGGTACCTACAGATAGGTAGGTACCTACCTGGTACCTTTTTTGATCCCCAAAAAGCACAATCTGGAAACAAGGTATAAGGTTTATTAGGATTCCATTCACAGCTGAGTATATATCCTCTGCTCCTTTCACCCTTGCCTGGCTGAAGATTTCAGAGGAATGTCTTGTTGTTTGTATTGCTGACTGTTTAGTAATGGCTCATCTCAGCTCTGAGATGGATTCTAGGAGATTTCTATTATTCAAATATATCAATAGTAAAATGGCCAAGTGGTGGGTGCTTGGCCCACAGATGACTTCAGCCCATTTATCTGCAATGCCACCATGAGAGGATTCAACCTTTCACTTAAGCAGACTGCAAAAGGAAGGTGTCTGCCTGCTGGACCTGGGTAAGATGGAGTCAATATGGACTGGCTGAATGGGGCACTTCAGCTTTTCAAGTTGCACTTTCCAAAGAAAAATGGATTCTTGGATGACGAGCTTAAGGTGATGCTAATTAAATCTATAGGGCACAATACAGATCAAGGAAGCCAGTACAGCTGAGGCTTTTCTGCAGCAGTAGCCACAATCCACTCAGCTCATTCCCCATTGGTCTCATGATCTCATTCCTCACAGACCATTTTGGATCATTTTACCCGACCCATGTGTTTGAGTGGATTTCTGTTTCAGTACCAAAACTAATTCATGCTATATATTAATGTAAGCTAACTACAGACAACAATTCATACATGCAGTATAAAATATTTCACATGTAAAATTGTACCTGTTTGTGAAGATGGCATATCCATTCAGCAAATTGTCGTGCATTTGGGATAGTGGCAGAAAGAAACACATAATGAACATTGTCTGGGAGTAGAATAATGGTTTCTTCCCATACCACACCACGTTCTAGAAAAGAGAAAATGCAAAAGACAAGTTATACAGCAGCATAATGTTATTTCTGTTAGCTTTGTATGTATAAATCCATGCACAAATAAGTAAATATGGAATACCTGAATCCCTCATGTAATGAATTTCATCAAATATAACCCAAGCAACTTCACGCATGACCTCAGAACCTCTGTAAAGCATACTTCTCAAAATCTGAAAGAAAAAGAAATGTGTAAATGATGCACGTAGCTGATCATTTTAAATCATAGCGTAAGACTTTAGGAAACACAGGGCACAGAACAATAAATGGAAATAAATACACTGAGACAGACCTAGCCTTAGTCATGATTAGAGACAATCCACTGAAATTAATGGACCAAGTCAGTCATGAGATAGTTAACTTGTCAAACTGATTTTAACGGGTCTTTTCTAAGCATGACATATAAAATTTAACATATTGAATCCAATACAGTGAATTAAAATTTGAATGCTGAAACACTGATATTCAAAGGGAACAGGTTTTTGAATACCCAGGAGCCAACCTGAAGATTCATTGATCTTTAAGTAGTATTAAATAAAAGCCATGGTACAGCAACTTAGCCCACAGACAGGAAGAGACACAATGTCAACAGGAAAATTAATAATATTCTGAGTCATCTTTGCTATACCTCCATTTCACCCACCATAACACAAATTCAGTATCTTAAAGACATTTACTAAGGAGTAAGCCCACCAAATACAGTGGGACTTGTTTCTGAGAAAGCCTGTACAGAATTAATTGGCAGCCTATCAGTAAAAGCCAAGGCCAGTACAGAACAATTAACAATCAGATTTACCTCTGTTGTCATTACAAGACAAGATGCTGTAGGATTAATGGTGACATCCCCAGTCATCAAACCGACATCTTGAAATTCTTCATACATCTCCCGGTATTTTTGGTTACTCAGAGCTTTAATTGGGCTGGTAAATATCACACGTTGTTTTTCCCTTAAAGCCAAAGCAATGGCATACCTGCAGTGCATATGCAATTGAGTATTTATTACCACAAAATATGATTTGCAACATCTTATATTTCAATGTATTTTGTAGAAGAGTTACATTTAAAAAACAACTAAATTCATCTTGAATTTCATAAGACAAAAGCAAAAAGAAGGATGGCAACCATAGACTCACAACCACTTCAAATCCATATTATCCAATTCCATTTGGCATTGCAATTCAGTTCTTCCACCTGCTAGCTAGTTTCCTTGAATAGTCATGGCCTGAGAAGTAATTCTACAGTACTATAAAGATGACTACAGGACATGTCCATACATGAAGGCATGGACATGCTACCTGCCTGACCCATATGATACTCTCAAATTAATAAGAACCTAAACAAATCTGAGGCAATAACTCATTTAAAAACCTTAAAAGAAAATATATCAGCAGAAACTACATTGAATGGTATTTCTACTAATAACTAATTTTACTCTATTATTCTTGAAAATTTAGCCAACTTGTAATACTATTATACTATGGTTCATTTCAAATCTCTGGGTGATGTGAAAACTGATCCACACAATGCTTTTTCAATATATATGAGGTATTTAACTTATTTCTGCATAAATACATATACTTTGCTGAGAATATTACTGCTAACATTAGGACAATTACATAATCCATAAATTTGTACCAAACATGCTGCAAGAACAGACTTCCAAGATCAAAACTCTTTGGAAAAGTTAGTTTGCCAGGTCATACAGAAAAGCAAATAAAAATAATAATCAGGAAGTCTGCAATTGATTTGCATAAATTCCATAATCTGCACAGTTCTGTGACCTACCCACATTCTCTCACACTCACTGATCAACAGGCCAACTATACACAGTTTCCTTCTTCCTCTCCCCTCCTCACTCACCGTTAAGTTTCTGCTGCAATTTTCCTTTGAAAACTACATGCACTACTAATAGCCCTACGCCTCAATTTAAGAAAAAGGAATGCAAGGCCCTGAGGAACTTACAGCAGCACTAAAGAGTATGAGGGTAGGCAGACATTTTCTATCTATTCCTCTCTACCATGATGAGACAGGCACAAAGACAAAAGCAGCTAGTGTGCCATGTTGTTTTACTGAGGTGGCCAAATGCAACTAGGTTCATATTCTTTTTACCTGAGAGAAAGGGAAAGACGTTGGAAGCTGCTACACGTATGTAAAAAGAACCTTGCAATTACCTGGTTTTTACTCACCACAGATAGCCACATGACTGCATATTTTAGTATCAAAAAGCCAGGGGGGAATTATTGCATTTATTTTTAAATCTACTGCATAACTACTTACTCTGCACATACTGTCTTCCCTGCTGATGTATGAGCAGACACTAAAACTGACTGATTGTTATCCACACACAGAATAGCCTCTCTTTGAAAAGCGTCAAGAATGAATGGATATTCCTGAAAAGAAAAAAATTATACTGAATATCTTAAATATTAAGTTTTGTACAACATAAAAATATGATTTTAATTTTAAGTGAGATAAGTTATCTTTCCCAAATATCACAACTCTATTTCAGTTTGTATTAAAATTTTAGAGTAACCAATTATAAACCAGTAAAACTATTTTTCTTCCGCTTGTTATTCAATGGACTTATTCTCCAAACATGTGAAAGCCTGATGTTAACATGAACTGGAATGTTAGTATTTCTGCAGAATGTTGATATTTTGATATTATAAGCAATGCATGCACCTTAAATGCTGCCTTGAATGTACTTGGTGAGCTCTGGAGACAGAGATCCCCTTCAACTCTAACGAATATTACAGTGACAGAGAAGCTAAAGGTCATAATAAGTTTTCATATGAAGATGACTTTACTACCTGGTTTCCTTCTTTGAATTTTGGATAAGTCTAAACTGCAATATGCAACACTTTTGAAATACCAGAATTTTAAGATCTGAAGGCACCTCTATATAAAAAATCAACACCCAAAGAATTCTTTTTCCCCCAATGGTTTTTCTGAAAATGTTGCATTAAATAGACTTCTTCATACTTAAAGTGTACAGAAATACATAACAATTCACAGGATTTTCTTACTGCAATTTTCAAAGAATATTAAAACCAAGGTATGTGTAACATATGCAATTGTCACAAGAGATTTGGAGCAAATCCATGTTATTAAAGGCTGATATAGCGAAACTCATAAGTCCATGGAAGGTATCATTTTTCTCCTCCATTTTCCTCCATCAACTATGAAATTAAACAGTTAGGACTTTCAAACACAAACCTTTGCAGCTTTTCCAGTTCTTGGTTTTAAGGTTCTAAAGTCTTCATCTGCAGGAAGAGCAACCTAACAAAGATAGAAATAAAAATATTTAAACTTGTAGATGTAACTTTTGAAAACTTATTCCACATTTGCATCAACATTTCAAACTGTATCTCCTCAGTCACAAGAAATTCCAGCAAAGTTCACAATAATGAAGACAAGTAAACAAGTGGAGAAAGGCATCTTGAAAAGGAGTTCAGAAAATGTGCCAGTTTACTCTCAGTAGCAAAGCACCCAAAGCCCTCAGTGTTTGAAACAAACCTGTTTCAAATAACTTAAACCTATCTCACAGAGGAATCCTATGGCTGCTAGGCAGTCATAGGATTTGGTGGAGACCCAGCTAGTAAGTTGGAGCTGTGTCTCAGAGCTTGGAGTCCTCTCCACCATCACAGAGCCTCGTAATATCCTGGTGGCACTTTAGCTGCTTTTCCTCATGATCTGAGGCACTGACAAGTTAAGACAGGTGAAATCAGCAGTCTAAGTGTATTGCAGAGTGGGAAGAGCACAGAGGCAATGTTTGACTCTGTGCTCTTTCTGTCCTGCATCGCATGCCCAACCTGAGCATTCTTCAGGTTCAGACGGTTATGGGCAGGGATGTGTGAGGAAATGGTTTGGGGGTAGGAATTTGTCAGATTCCCTGGATGTGGTTCCTTAAACTCTAGTCTGCTTTGCAGCAGTCCAAAAATCCAAGTTCCTCACAAACATCCCTAGTGTTTATAGGGTGACTGCCAGATGTTCAAGGAGTGCCTCTTTCTCACACATTTTTTTATTTTTATTTTTTATAGAAGACTTCTATGCCACCCCATTTGCTGAAGCCTCGGGGCTGCTCACATCTGGCACACATGCTGCTACCACTGCCAGCAACAACAGTAGATGGAGGAAAAGATTGGTCACCTGGTCACTGGAAATGGTGCCCAGCACACCTGCTCACAGAGCCCCTTTTTCACATCCTGAAGCCATTCCTGATGAGGAAGGCTGCCAGTTGCACAACCAGGGGTCTGTGAGCATTCATAGACTTCCTCTTGGAACCACAAAAGGAGGTCTGCAGATGCTAGAGTGACATATTGCAAAAGGGTTCATCCCAACCCTAGTTACAAGCATCCAGATTAGAGTGTGTGATATATCCCACCAATAGGAACTGGTTCAAGTACCTAAATAGAGCCTCTTATTAACTAACTGGATTTATATGCCATTATAGTAGCCCATTAACTGGGCTCTCTGTATGGCTTATTTTTGAATCAACTTGCTATTTGTTCTGGTAAAGTTCTAAACAGCAAAGTAACAATTATGATGGTCTGCTATAATGAACTTTGTCCTATGCTCTGCTGTGGGTTTCTGAGCTAAAATGTGACCACTTGGCTCTTTTCTTTAGGACCAGCAACTCTCTCAGCCCATTGAGAAGGAGTGCTGTACAAGGTGCTACCGCTGGGAGAAGAGCATAAAGCAGCTGCATCTTACACCCAATGACAACTGTGGCAGCAAAGATTTGCTGCAATGCATTAATGTCTTCTTTTTAATGGCTAATCTCACTCTTCTTTAAGACAGGGCAAATAAAGCTCAAAAGCTTTGTACAACTTTCTCGTTTAATCCAAGACAGTCAAATTGGTGAATATGATGTTACAGACCAAGACTGTATTATCTACTTATATAAAGACAACTTCCTGTGTGCCTCTGCCATGACATTCTAGCTTAGATAAGAAATGGAAACCATGGTATAAATATGTAAATGGCATGGGTGGGTTATGCAGACAAGGAGCTGTTCAGTTCTCAGTTGTCTCCATGGTCAAACACTAAAGTCACTGAGGGAGCATATTTAGTCCTCTTGTAAACCTTTCCAAGTACACTGTCTCAAATAGCTTATACTGTGAGAAAATTATTTGTGCAATTTCTATCTCACCTTCCTACCAAGAAAAAATATGCAGTCAAGGAAGAAGAATGTTATTACTTCAACTGAGAAAAGTACAGCACTTCAATTTAGAATTGCGCATTAGTATTACAGACAACATTATATAGACAACATTATACTCACCTCATGGGTACAACCTTCAACTGTTTCAACTGCTTGTACCTTTACTTTAGGCATCAAGTCTGCCAAACTAAGAACAAATGCATAAATTAGTACTAGCAACTAGTCATATACATAAACATGTTAAGGATGAGCTTGGATGACCAGTTAATCACAATGACATCCTAACTGAATCTTAAAGAATAATGATTCCTACAAGTGTTTCACCTGAGTGCAGTCTCCATTAGCTGTTTCCAAATATGCAACTACTAAAATTCAAAGCCAGCTTGCAAGACTGCAAGGCAGTTTTCCATTCATCTTGTCACTTGGAGCTAGTTATGACTACCCTACCCTCAGAGTTACATGAAAAACTACACCTATTATCTTGCCTATTCTTTGTTCTTTTCCTTCTTTACTACCGTAATACTACCACCACTTCTTGTCCTAGCCTTTTCGAAAAGAAGAAACATCCTAGGGAGCCCTAAGGAAATAACAGCACTTAGAGAGATTGTCTCTCTCAGTTTATTGGCTTTGAAGCTTGGTGACAAGCATGAAAAACTGCAGAACAGCTTCACTGGAAAGGCAATGGGGGAGAGGCTAGCAAGACTCTGTAAGAAGATTCAGTTCTGCCACTTCATAAAAGCAGCTTGACAGTTCCAAATCAGAACAGAGAGGAAGTATCTCTTTGAGAATATCCTAACTACTTCATAAGAGGCTTCAGAAGGATCGATTTACTTGTAGAGATAGATGAAACTGTCTTTTTAGAACGCTTAACTGATACTAATACATATGTCACATATATTGCTTTTCTTAAAGGTTCAAAGTCTTTCACATGCATTTTATCATCAATCTTTTTTTAGTTGTAAGTTTAACGTGATCCCTATATTATGCAATTGAAGGCACAATTCTGGGCAAGTCTAGACAGAAAAAAGCCTACAACTCCCAGTACATTTTTTCCATCTAATCATGCATAGAATTGTACCCAACAGAGCATTTCATGCATGTTTCTACAGAAATAAGTTCTATGACTCCTAGCATTCCCCAACCAGCATGGTTTTCCTGTCCACACATGCACAGGACTGCACCCTAAGGCTGTAATTCCCAGAAAAATTTTCTGTAAGTAAGCATTACTGAACTCAGCAGACTTTACTTCAGAGTTACTGTGTTAACAGTAAGTTTATGGCTAAGATTTGAAGTTTGGTACTTTTGAGAAGGTTCCTTTAAGTTGGTGTGCAGAAGTTATGAGTTAACTCCTGCTACTGCTCAGGAAAAGTAAGGACCACATTACAGAGTTCTGTACAGTCTATCAGTCCCTTTCTTCCAATCCGATCCTAGGCTAAAGTTCAGTACCAAAGTGAAAAAATCTCCCCACTTTGCATGGAAGACATAAAACCACAGAGAAGACACAGGAAAGAAGCATAGAGAGGAAATTACACTTGTTGTAGAAATGGTCCCTAGCCAAGCCTCAACTTATGGTACCCAGAGGCAGGTGAACCTGATAGCTAAAGGCAACAGACTCAATTATCCCTACAATAGGATATGCTATAGCTGACACCCAATTAGGATAGGGCAATTTGTACATACTGAATCTACAGAATATTAACTACTTCCTGAAGAACACTCATACTAAAGGCCTTCACAGAGGTATGTGTGTCTGTCTTAGAGTGCTTGGTAAGGGAAATTACATATGCCCAAGTTTCTGACCTGCAGATTTCTTTAAGCATGCACTCCTAGTGAAGGTGGCTGAGCTGGATGAGCTAATGGAATGAGCTGTAATTCTTAGGGACTAAGTGGCATAAAGTCTCACAGGCCCCAAAAATGGATTCTTTCAGCCACCCGGGAAGCACACTTGATCTGGAGACCTGTTGGGTGGGGTGACATGAAAAGGGTGTCAGGGTACTAGAACACTTTTCTATAGATCTTAATCGCTTTGCATATGATTACCTTATGTCAGCCCTTTTCCAAGGAGTAATGGGGACAAGGGCAAAAAAAAAAAATATAGTCTTATGCCCTGCAATCTATGAAGTCAGGTGCTGAGCTTAGGAATGAAGGTAGAGATTGATCTTAATACAACTGTGTCTTTGTGGAAGGTTTCTCCCTCTACAGAAAGGGCAGATAGTGAAGTTCTTAGTGTCGATGTAGTAGCAACCAGAAATAACACTTCTGGGGACAAGAGTCTAAGTGAAATTCTCTTTATGGGTTTGAACATGAATTTCAGAAGTGCAGACAAGAGATCTTGAAGCTTTCAGGATAGAAATCTGTGAACAGTATGAACACTTAGTAGTAAATGAAACAGTTGAGGTGAGAGTGGGACTAAGAAGTAGATGTTCCATGTTAGAAAGTCCTGAAATAATTAAAATCTTTTTGCACTGAGTAAACAACCTGAATACCTTATCAAGGCCTGTTTGCAGGAATAGAAGCTGCTTGATTCCAGTGATTTACATCTGTACCATCTAGTAAAACCTTCCAGAATTTTTTATATAAGGGTATGATGTGGTTTTTATGGGATGTCAGTAAGGTGTTGACAACAGGGTCTAGGAAGCCTAAAGTCATATAGCTTTTCTGAGTTGTAAAATAACTTGACAGGCTAATCTAGGAAATATTTTTAATGGGAGAGGGCTTTGACACCTGGGCGCGGTTTGGTTGATAATGAAGGTGATGGAGTATATTCATATTTGTTTCATCCAAAATGGTTACCCGATGCATTCAGTGGGAAGCTGCAGGGACAGGGTGGGTAGAAATTGATTATTATTCTTACCCTTCTCTTTTGCAAAGAAGTTAATCTACTTGGCCTGGGCCTTGGAATCACTCTTGGGACCATGCCCAAGAAGGAGCTCCCAATCTGCCCAAAAGAAAGCAGCATAATCCTTAGATGCAAGTGCCCCAAATCTCTCAGCCACAATAATTTTCCTTGAGATTAGCCTGTTGATGGCTGCATAAGTCATCAACAAGGTAGAGCAGGCAGGTAGAACTGGTGAGCTACCTGTCATTGTATCATTTCATCCCTGAGCACAATCTGCAAAGTTATTCTCTGATCTGAAGCAGAGGTCACTGGTCCATTTCACTTTCAGTGGGCTTCTACTAACTTTGCTTCCCTTTTATGCAGCTGTGGGGGCTGCTTTCATTTCTGGAGGAGTCATGAAGACGAGAATAGAAAAAGTAGAAAAAATAAAGCATTCATCTTTGCACTTCTTTTATCACCACTTTAAACAGTGAGAATAAATTTGTTTATAGGCAAATAAGAAAAACAGTATGAAGACAGTGAATCTCAGATTGGAAAGAGATGGGTGAAAAGCAGGGTAGAGCCTGGAAGCAGCAGACTAAACAAAATTTCACATGGCCCTGAGAAATAGGGAAAGTTACCCCAGTTTACAGATGTCTTCTTCACACAAGCCTGGAGAGGTAGATATCCAATGCATGGCTTATAATCGTAACTACTACCCAGACACAAATTATTTTAGCAATATTTCTTTTAC